GGAACATTATCTACAACATTTGAATTTTCCTTGTATCCTAAACTAGTGTTAGGACCCCTAGTTGTAGTGGCGGAGCCAGGAATTTTCTCTTGGAGGGGCCAAGATACACAAGAAAATAAGATAAGGAGTAGAAGAGGTAGGGTGTGTTGGGAAATGGGATGAGAAGGTTTGGGGCTATCGTATATTTTTTAAAAATAAAAAATAAACACAAATTTTTAATTTTGGGAGTTGGAGGAACATTAGAGAGTGATCCTACATTTTAGTTCAAATTTGGGGGGGGCAGGGGGGGGGGGGGGCAAAGATCCCTACCAATATACTTGGCTCCGCCCCTGCCTAGTTGGCTTCTTGTCCTTCCCCAAGGCAATTGGTTTCAAGTGTGCATAAAAAATCCAGCAACCGTTCTTTGTATGTCTTTCTTCTCCACAATGAGAATACTTCAAGTTCTCCTTGCCTACATTTTCCCCCTTGAGAGTAGAAAAAACCAAGGCAAATTGTTCAATAGGTTGAGTATGGATATCAGTTTTCATTTCCTTCCTCCTTATTTCTGCATTCCTAAGCAAATAAAACACATGTTGCAAAGTAGGCAATTCATCCCTCCTAAAGATTTGGGATCAAATGCCTTCATATGAGTAGTCAAGACCAGCTAGAAACTTGAATAATAGCCCCTCTTCAATCTATTTATCACGTTGCTCTGTCTCAGGTACAAAGCTAGTCAATAATTTGCAGATGACCCAATTCCTCCTAAAGTCCTTCCAAGGTAGCAAAGTAGGTTGCCACTGACAAGTCTCTTTGAGTAAGGGCAGCAATGTCTTGGGTAAGTCTATACAGCCTTGCGTTATTCTTCGTCTACCCATAGGTATTATAGAGTTTTTTCCTATATCTTAAAGGTTGTAGAATAGTGTTGAACAATTCTAAATATCTTGGAAGTCATGGAAGAAAGTTTGAGTTTCCAACCAAAGGAACACCCCCCATCAAACTAGGTTCCTTAGAACTTGAAGACATGTTGAACCAATATTCACTTGAGACTTGATAAAAGACAACAGTGTTTTTTGTGTAAACACTAGGAGAACACTAGTAAAACAACTGAATTTGGATCTCCTGCCCACAAGAACTCTACCCACAACATACTACTTCCATGCATTGGGAACATCTCCTATGCATAATAATATTATGTAGGAGGATGAGATGTTCCCCATGTGTGGCTGTGATGTTATGTGGGTAGACGTCAGCAGAGTTCTTATGGGCAAGAGATCCAGACTCGAAACAACTCAGCAAACACCTAGGCTACAACCTCTGATCAAAACTTGAATGAAGATCAATACCCCTCCTGTCACTTGCTAGTCACTTAGACAACAGTTCTCTTTCTGTCCAACACCAAAGAACCACCTGAACAACAATGTTAACACACTTGCTAGTCACTTGGGCTTCAAGACTTCCAAGAAGAACAGGTAGATCTCTCTAGTTGTTGATTGACTACTCACTACAGAAACTGCCCTAGAAGACCATAACAAGAAAAGCTTAGTGTCCTTGGCCTTAAATGCCAAGGAAGAACCTTAAAAAAGGAGAACAATCTGGAAAGTGCTAACCATAATTATGAAGAGAAAAGTAAAAAAGGTGAAACGAGGGAGCTTTAATGCAGCTTTAGCTGCTCTAATACCATGAAGATGTTAGTTCTATGTTAAAAGGAGAGAAAAGAAGTGGGCGGGTCACTTCTCTTATTGGCCCTAAACTGATATTTATAGAAAGATTAAAATAAAACACATGAAGGGATAAATTTACCCCTCATATGTAAGGCATTAAGTAGGGGTGGATTTTAATCGAGCCGAGCTGAGTCAAATATCCAACTATTTTGCCAATAAACTTTGAGGCTCGATCTCAATTCGAGTTAGAGACTTGAGCTCGAATTCGGCTCGAGTCAAAAGCTTGGAAGTTCGAGCTCAGCTCAACTATGAGCCAAACATTTTATGAAAATATAAAATTATACATATAAAAATATTTTTATTTTACATATAAAAATTAATAATTATAAAAAACTAGTTTTATATATATAACCTTTTTATATGTATGGATGTATATATTTATGTATATATGTATATGTGTGCATGAATGTATGTATATATGTAAAAGCTCGAGCTCAGCTCAACTAGAAAACAAGCCTATATATTGGGCTTGAGCTTGGCTCGAAGCAAGGTTTGTGTTGAGCTGAACCGAGCTTTTGATCATGAGCCGAACTCAAATAACTCATGAAAAGCTCGGCTTGTGGCCACCCCTGACAGTAAGACAGATTTAAAATTACAACATAGGCTGAAGCCCATTTATCCCAAAGGGAAAATAAAACCAAGAACATAAATAGTAAAGGCCTAAGCCCACAATATTATGTCTCACAACAAAAAATACAAAAAAAAAAGAGAAAAACGAATGAATGTCTAACCATGACCCAATGACCAGGTCAAACATTTCAATAGTTCAACCAACCAGGTCATTGATTGTTGATCAAGTCAAAGGTTTTTACAAGTCAACAGATTGAGAATGAAGTGGGCGTGGATCTGATTGCGTGATGGGTCAATTGATTGACTCCACTGTGGGTTGAAAACATTGGTTCAAATAATTGATTTGACCACAATATTAAAAACCAATATTCAAACAATATATTGGAATTGCATTTCCTCTTCGTAAATAAGTAGTTTTTATTATCTCTTAAATTAAATAATAAAAATAAAAATATAGAATTTTTTATAAATTTTATAAAAAAAATTGAACATGCATTAATATTATATATCCTTTATATTAAACAAAAATATGTTTGAAAAATAAGAATTATTGTTAGTAAAGATAGAAATGCCTAAAATATAAAGAAAAAAAATGAATTAATGTCTTAATCATAGTCCATTTTCCAGGTTAAATAGGTTAATGATTCAACCAATAAGGTCATTTGGTTGTTGACAATTATCATCATCATCATTTGATATTGCCATGTGCAACGCGTGTGCACTTTTACTAGTTAAGAAAAATAAGATTAAACTAACCTTATTCTAAATTTGATTAATACTAATCAATAACAATTTTAAGAGATAAATGAAAGAAATATTAATTAATAAACTCCTTGTCTCCACCACTTACCCATTTCCCATAAATACTAAAACCACCCGTCTCTTTTCAAAAATGACTAGACTTCCTTTTTCACAGTCTAATGGAGTAATCAAAGAGTCATTTTTACCCTTATTAATACTCCAATTTTTCAAAATAAGAGAATCTTCATCAGAAAATTCAACATGGCAACTCCCTGGAACATGATTGCTACAAAATGATATATTCTTTAATTCTTTAGTTTTCAGCAATGTTTTTGAACCGTCGTTGACTCGAACGGTTGGACCGTTTGACTCAAAAACTATCCAAGCAACCAATTCCGTTTCACCTTTAACTCGTTCCTACTTCTTGGGTCAAAAACCGTTGACTCGTGCGACCAAACCATCAACTCGTTTGATCTGGACAATGGTTCATGGTTTAAGAAAGTTGTAGAGGATAGAGAGGGGAGAAACTGAGACACGAACTCATATATGAGATCTAACAAAGAGAGAGAGAGAGAGAATAAGAAGAAGAAGATTCCAGAGGTTGGAGAGAAATCGATATTGAGATCTCAAATTTGATATTTGCTTTTGTTGTCATCGTCATTGTCGGTGAGCATCGAATCCTCCTCATCCTCTTCCTTCTTCTTCCCTAGTCCTTCCCTCCTTCCTTTCCTTTCTCTCCTTTTCTTTTTCTCCTTTCTCTCCTTCATATCTTTTTTTTTTCTTTCCTTCTTTCCTTCTTTTTGTTTTTCTTCCTCAGCCAACAACCACGGTCTCTTCTCCTTTCTCATATAAAACTTTTATATGAAAAATATTTGCCCTAATAATACAAACCATTTGAACCATTCGACCTAGAAACCGGTAGCTAGATAGTTCTGCTTCCATGTCGATTTTTAAAACCTTGGTTTTCAATAGTCACTCTCTTCATCCACTTAAACAATGTTTTCGAATCGCCATTGACTTAGATAGTCGAACCATTTAGCCACCATCTAAGCAACCAGTTCCATTTTACCCCAAACTCGGTTCCTAACCAAAAACCGTTGAATTGGTCAATGACCCATTGACCCGGGTGATCGAACCATCGACTTGTTCAATGGCTTTGGGTTGTTTTTTATTATAGCTGATAAGGGAAACTTTTGGGTAACTTTTTTTTTAAAATATCAAAAAAGGGTAGAAATTTGTTCATCTCCTTCCTCCAAACCACCGAACTCAACCCAAAAGCAGTTTCTGAAATGGAATTTGGGAAATCTCAACTCCCAAGAATGTTACGCAACTCTCAATCATCTCTCATTCTATTTTGAAATCCCACAATACCGTGTCTCTACCCAAATTCCATGTTACAACTCGTTGGGCGTCAATCATCAGAGCACACTGAAAACTAGGCCTTGGCGCCGTGGAAAACAGGAAACATACCCCCTCACCCAAATCTACACTTGTAATCTGAAATAAAACCATCCCCTTTGTCTTTGTCGTCTTCTTCCTCTTTCTCCTCTTGCTGGGTATATAAAAAATACTGCGGTTTATGTAGCTTTTATCATCACCAGTCTTTGAGACGTTGATTTGAGAATCCCTAAATTCCATTTTAGAATCGAAAAAACAAGTGAGGTGAGGTGGTGCACTATCCATTTTCGTTTTGAGGGTTTAAGGTTTAAGCTGCTATTGCGTCAAGCACAAGGGTCAAGAGTAGTGAAGAAGATCCCATGGTTATTTATTAATCTTGAGAGAGATTTGTCCAGTGGTTTGGAGGAAGAAGAAAAATGTGTTTTTTCCTTTATTTGATATATTTTTAAAAAATTAATCTATTTTAGAAATTATATTAAAATGGTTATTTTTATTGATATTAGGGCTCAAAAGTTTACCTTATTAGCTATAACCCCTAATTATATATATATTTTTTAATTTTAATTTTTTTCATCAAAACAGGCCGCCCGTTCAAACTGGATGATCAAAACGTCGACCTGGAAACCGGTGGCTAGAACGGTTCTGGTTCCTGGTCAATTTTTAAAACATTATGCTTAAAGGGAGTTCAATTCTGCACCCCACCCAGTTTTTCCCCACAAACACCCCACACGCTCACCATCTGCCATATGTCCCTTCACACGAGAGACGCTAAATAGCGTGTGCGGGTCTGTTAGCCCCTTCCGTTACCCCCCAAAAGTCTCATTTATGAGTTCAAACCCTTCATTCGACAGCTCTAGGTTAGGGCATCTCCAAAACCCTCTTCTCCCTTTTCTCCTGCACCGGCACCTACAACAACAACCGGCGGTACTCTCCAGCCCATCTTTTCACATCATTTTTTATTTTTTATTTTTTTTCTGATATTTTCGTTTTCCAGATATCAGAGAAACTGGCGGTAGAGTCATCTTCTCCTTCTCCGACACCTGCACCTACAATGACAACCGGCGGTACTCCCCATCCCACCTTTCACCTCATTGTTTATTTTTTCTTCTTTTTTTCTGATTCTTTTGTTTTCCAAATATTAGAGAAACCGGTCTCCTTCTCTGGCACCGGCAACTTTCTTTATTCCATTCTCAAAAGGCTTTAAATTAGGTTTCAGTGAGTGGGGCTGACCTGACTACTGCTGAGGCTGACCCATATACATGTGAGCTGTATTGAAATTAGTGGTGTAAGCCTGTAAATGTTTTAGTACTAAGGCACAATGCAAATTCCTCTCGTGGTAGTTGGTGGTTTCAACCATAAACTTTGGCTCCTTGTTGAAGTTGCAGCGGCGCTGCTAACCAGTAATTGTGCACAGCCAAAACTCTATCAAACATTTGGAGTTGAAGAGGGAATGCATGCCTTTGATAGAATTTGGTGTCTGAAAAAAACAAAAATTTCTCGTTAAGTGATAACATCAAAATGTGGTGATGAATGGGTACCTTAAAGGGGGTTGGTTTCGTACTGGGGATCTTGGTGCCAGTGTGGGAGAAGGAGACCGATTTCTCTGATATCTGGAAAATTAGAAAAAAGAAGAAAAAATAAACAATGAGGTGAAAGGTGGGATGGAGAGTACCGCCAGTTGTCGTTGTAGGTGTTGGAGAAGGAGAAGATGACTCTGCCACCAGTTTCTCTGATATCTGAAAAACGAAAATATCAGAAAAAAAAAATAAAAAAATAAAAAATGAGGTGAAAAGATGGGATGGAGAGTACCGCTGGTTGCCATTGTAGGTGCCAGTGCCGGAGAAGGAGAAGATGCTCTAGTGAGGGAGAAACAATCAGGGTCAGGCATTCGAGAGGGAGAAGAGGGTTTTGGAGATGCCCTAACCTGGATGCGCTATTTAGTGTCTCTCGTGTGAATGAACAAATGACAAATGGTGAGCGTGTGGGGCATTTGTGGGGAACCAAACAATGAGATACATGGGTCTTTGTTGAAATGCCTATGTGGATCCGGCGTGGCATCGTTTTTTTGAAAAACAGGCACGGTTCCAAACATCCCTTATATTATTCATTTTTGTCAAAATGGTCATTAATTATTACCTTTCCATTGCTCTCTTACATTAAGCGATGTGGTGGATTTTTAATGGTAGTTGCAGAGTTTTCTTTTTAATTTTTTTTGCATCCTCGATGCAGACGATGTGAGCTCAAATTGACCGTGCAGTTGCATATAGATGATGATTTTTCCACATCCATCTTTCAAAAATTTCACCATAAATGTCTCTTAGGTCATGTTTTGGGAGTTCACATCTCTGCCCCACAACACATCCCCGCCGTGTATTGAGAACATCTCTCAATTATAGTACCAGTCTTGATGATATCATCATCGAGAGATGTTCTTGATACACGGCGGTGATGTGTTGTGGGGCACTGTGGGGTGGTTCCTTCTAGGGCGGAGATGTGATCTCGTGTTTTGGAACCAATGCCTATTCCAAAGAGGCATGCTGCATAGGCATGTCGCAAGTCATTTTCTTATATTTGGCACCATTGTTGTTGTTGTCATATAAATGTTTTTCAATAATATCTCGATTAGTCTACCATTACTAACAATGGTAGAAAAAATGAAAAAACATCAAAAATTACATTTTCTCATACCACACCTATCATGATTTCCAAGGCGTTGTCTGAGAAAGAGTTTTTTGAAAAAAAAAACAATCAAACATTCATATGTGGCAATGATGTAGCACAATTTTTCAAAAAAACTGCATTGATGCCAAATACCTACTTAAGAGACAGTCACAAAGGTCGAAAGAAAAGAGGACCAATGAAACTAAACCACCTATTGATGCTCGGGATGGCCGAAGACAACGAAGTAAGTTCACCCCTAGACTCCGAAGGTTGGCCGAAGGCTTCAAGGGTTTGGATATCTTGTTGCCGAGGCCGAGGTGGAGAGGGCTCTGAATACTGTAGAAGCTTAAGGTAGGTGGCCGAGGTGCTGCAAGGCAGAATACGTCAAAGGCCCCGGGTAAGAACCCGAGGCAGAGTCTCCGACGATCAAGTTAGTACGGGGTACGAAGAGGGGAATTAGAATATAGCTTTTGAGATCAATTCCAGGTCCAGATGTCGATTGTATTCGATCCTCCACTTACCTGGAGGGTGGCACCCCTATTTATAGTTGAGCTGCCTGGAGGTAGGTGGAGGTGAACACCTGAGATGGGTGCCGTACGAGGGCAGTAAAAGAGCTCTGCGGGGATGCATGGGCGATCTGCGATTGGCTCTGTACGAGGGGAGCAGAGTAAGTCCACCTGTAGCGGATCTCATTCCCAGGTCTGGCGCTCGTGGGCTGGGCCTCCCAGCTTTGAATGGGCTGGGTTGGGTCACCTCACATCACTTGCCCCCACTCCTGAGGTCGAGCAAAAAATCCGGCTTCGGTTAATAGGAGTAGTAACGGTGAGTGCTAGTGGGCCCGGCAGCCAAGGTGTACCCTACAGTGGCGTCTTCTTTCGCGTCTCTACCTGGTTCGTCTTCGTATGTTGGGCTGAGGCTACGAGTGGTCTACAACACTACTGCTTCGGACAAGTGACCCGGGAGGCGCGCTTAGTGCGGATTCTTTGGTGCCGCCATTTGGGCCGAGGAGCTGTGAAGCTAAAGATTGTTTAAGCTAAGTGCCTACGAAGCCGAAGGCTGTTTAGGCCGAAGGCCTATGAAACCGAAGGCCTATGAAGCCGAAGGTTATTTAAGCTGAGGGCTTGTAAGTCCCAAGGATCCATGCGTGGAACAGCTTTCCAGTCAGACTGTTGCATGCATTCGCGCGACCAGGTTACATAAGTCGATGGTTCACAGTGGGCAGGCATTTGGGGGTGCGGCACAGCTGGATCGCAGGTGCACCCTGGGCGTCGTTTCGCCTTCCGAGGACGGGTGTTCAGGGGTGTGGCGTGGATGGTTCGCAAGTGCGAAGACGTAGCTAGCGCGCCGTTTCGCCTTCCGAGGGTGAGCATTATGTGGCGTGCCATGATTGGGTTGTGGAAGTGGTGGCTTCTCAACCATTGGATCTCGAGAAATCTAGGCCGTTTGTTCTCCTTTAAATAGGACCCTTAGTGGCAGCACTCTTGTCGTTTGCCTCTAAGCGCCTTTGCCTTCGAGTGAACCCAACTTCCAGACTCTCCAACCTTCAACACTTCATTCTCACTTTTTCTTCCTCCACATTTCTTAGGTAATTTTAAACAATGTCTTTCTTAGATTCTGGTCCTGAGTGCTATGATCTTCCGAATGAGTCGAAAGGGAGCTCTTCTCGTACCCCTTCTCTCATTTCCCCTTTGAGTCCTTTTACTCTTCCCCCCCGCCCCCCTTTCGGCAAGAGGTTGAGGTGCTTTGGGGGAGGGTAGCCCCTGAGGGTGCCGAAGGCAGCCGTCGAGGCGAGAACCTTCCTTGTTAGTGTCGCTTCCGTGACATTGAGGGAGGCTGAAGGTTCCTGCCCAACCAAGGGGGAGGGAACCTTAGACCATGTTCCCGGGACGAGGGTTGCCCAGGCAGTAGCTAAGACCGATGTCCTCCGCTTGGGTTTCGAGAACTTTCTGGATGGGGATTAGGTCAAAGCTCTGGCAAGGCAGTACTTCATTCCCCCATCCTATGGTATGAGGGTGCCCGAAGTAGGCGAATGGCCATGGACTCCTAAGAAGGGGGAGATCTACATCTACCAACATTTTCTCTAGTTCGGTCTTCGATTTCCTCTTCATCCGTTGATTTCCAAATTGTTGAGGGCGTATGGGATTACTCTTAGCTAGTTGGTGCCCAATGTCGTTTGGACTATAGTGGCCATGTTGGTGGTGGCTCGGTTCCAGGGGGTGGAATTGATGCCAAGGCTCTTTCGAGTGTTATTTGTGCCGAGGAGGCATTATTCCGAGAATGGCATGTACTGCCTCTAACCCCGTAGGACCAAGTCATTAGATAACCCTTCTTCCGTGCATAACTGGAAGAGAAAATTCTTCTTTGTGTCATGTCTCGAGGGTTCGTCCTTCAAGTTGGGGTGGGGAGAGGTTAGCCGAGCTACAGAGAAGAGTGTCCCCATGCTCACGAGAGAGGAGAACGATGATCTTGCGCGGTTGCTTGACCTAGGGATAGTCCGAGCCCAGTCTTTGGTGGAGGAGGTCCCACTAGTTTTTGCGGGGCTCAGCCCTTTTCCCCTCGGTAGGAGAGGCCTTGTGTTCCCTTAACACGTCCTTTTTTCCCCCTTTTTTTGTTTCATTACTGACGGCTTTGCTTTGTTTGCAGAAGTGCGAATGGATGTCCACAAGGCTGTTTTGTAACGTGCTCGCGCCATGTAGAAGGAGCGGGCTAAAACGCCTTAGAGGCCTTCTGACAGGCAGAAGGAGAAGGGCTCTACCCCTGCGAAGGGGGGGATTTCTTGTTAGGTCCCTCGTAAAGGAACCACTGCATGGCTCCCACGAACGGAGCAACTTCACAAGCCCCTACCAAAGGGAAGAAGCTTGTCGAGGAGGTGCCATCGAGGCAGGAGCAGCCCGGGCCGCTGAATCCGACCACTAGGTCGTAGAAGCCCACCCAGGAGACCAAGGCGGAGCAGAAGAGCCCACCCGAGGAAGCCGCAAGGGGTCAGCCCCTGCAAAAGGTGGCTCGTTCCGGGGGCTCAACGAGGGATGCCTCGAGGGGGTCTCACAAAGAGCGAATGGGGTTGTTTTTTGCCCCCATACCCTTGGAGGAGCTTGCGGTCCAACCAGATCTTTTGTCCCTAGTGGAACGTCCGCAAGGGAGACTCCATTCAAGAGGAGGGGGTTGGTTAAGCCCTAGTGAGCGGGGCCCTCCTCTCAAGGGACCGTTTGTCTTCACTATGTTGGTCTCGGGGACCGGCTAAAGCTGACCTTGGCCCAGATGGATAAGCTATAGGAGGAAAAGGGAAAGCTTCAGCATGCTATTGCTACTGTCGAGGAAAAGTACCATAAATTCCAATAGAGCCTTATTGACGAATAGAAGTTCCGTATGGAGGCTCAAGCACAACTGAAAGAGGTGCAGGAGAGCCTCTTCAAGGAGCAGATGGAAAGGGCCTGCATTGCAAGCCTTCTTTCTGAGGCAGAGCGACACCTCACCTAGGCCGAGGGAGATGCGGCCGAGGCAAAGAAGAGGGTGGCTGAGGCGGAGAAGAGGGCCGAGGGAGCAGCAAAGCGTTCCACGGAGGCCAAACAGAAAGCCGTTGAGGCCAACAAGAGGGCCCAGAAGGTAGAGAAGCGGGCCGAGGAACTAGCTAATCTTGCCTCCGGGGCTTACTTGGACGGGATCGAGGATACTAAGAAGATGCTCGCAATGGCTCTGCTTGTTAGACAGTTTTGTATGCCCTTAGCTTCAATCAGAATGATGTACTTTATGAGTTTATTGTAAATGAATAAA